AAATATCCTCAACTGTAAATTTATCAAATTTTAGTTAATATTCAAACAAATGGTTTAATCTGCACAGTTAATGGTATCAGGGATCAAAATTTCAACATCGATTTTCAGTCCATTGCATACAAAACTATATTTCATAAGCTCCAGTGTATTTCACGATTTAAACCCCTATTTTAAAACGATTAATAAAATATTAGGTTTCCTTTTGTTGTTCATTGAGGTTAGTTTTCATTAATCTATATTGCATAATTAATGTTTGCGTATTTCATGGTATAACTGCATCTATTATACCAACATAAGAGCGGGCGGTCCTTTGACAAAACTATCGCAAATGTTGTACGATTATTCTCTGTCGATTGTTTCACAGCCAATTGTTTAGTTGCATAACTAAAATTCGAGTAGTATGCGCACCTCCGTATAAGCTTAAATGAATCAAAGCATGACTAAACAGTTGTGCGATAGTTTAATTTCAGGTGTGCACACGCTTTAATACTTACTTTTTGGTAATCGTTTAAGGATATATCTGGATTATGCTGATTTTATTGTCTATTGACTTTATAAATACAATCAATAGAAATATTTACTCAACGTATAATTTATATAAATATAAAACGCTGAGTAACACAATTTCAAATTTTTCTATAATTTAAACTTTAGTAATAAAACTTTTTATTGGGTTGCGATGACTTGAAGCACCGGCGGCAGGAGAATAAAATATTCCAAACTCAACAAGAAATTAAAAAGTTAGAAGGTTTCATTACATTTCAAGATATATGTACAAATATATTATCGCTGTGAGTTTACATTACTTAACGACATCTACAGAAATGTATTGCCGTTTCTCATTATCGTAGAATAAAAAGAGACAAATATATATTTGTGGGACTGATTTTATAATAGTAGAAACTGTCTTACTCTACAACACAAATGTAACATTCGTGTGCAATTTCTGAATTACTAAGATTAGAGCGATTGCCTAATCACAATTTAATTAATTCACAAAATAAATATTATATTCATTGTTAATTATTTCGAGTACGGTCCAAAATATTTAATAAGTTATGTTGGTAGAAAAATTTTTGTACCAAAATGTTCGTAGCAAAGTCGGAGACACTGGCACTTTCATACTGTAAATATTTTAAAACCGCTTTCACGTCTAATACTTTACAACATTCAGAGCAGTGTCGTAACTTCATACTTTAAAATTTTTATTTGCATATCCTCTAAAAGAAAAATAATACCAGTCTTTTGGGAAAAACGACACATTTTCATACTAGAATATTAATCTTTATGTTTGGCTTTGTGGTATTTTATTGATTTTAATTTGTCTATTTATAAATCCTGTAGACCATAAGTCCTAAAGTAAGATTGCTTTTTTATACCTACAGGTTTAAAAGTTTGTAAGAAGAAATTTGCAAAAAAAGTTGGTTCAACACAAGAACGATGCACTCACATCGTACCGCTTCTACCAAATGCCAAAGTTTCACAAAAAAGGTTCAAAGCATCACTTTTTATTTCATCTCACGTACACGATTTACAGTTTTCAATTTTCCTTTCTGAATTCGATCGCTGTACCAGCTATGTTATCCTTTGAATTTATTCCTAGTACAAGTTTGACCCTGCGTGGACCAAACTCCGACCTATTGAATTATTCTACGGCTGTAAACAGTATCCGATATATTCACATTTATGGCCGCATAAACTTTATGAACAACTAAACAACGCACTAGTCGCAATGTTTTAATGTAATTTACAATCAGAATATATGAAAATCCACCTCGTACTAATCAGGCCAGTGGTAATAATTGAAGTCTATGATCTATGAAAATGTTCTCTGATAGTCTTTGAAATATCGTTATTTTTATTATTCAGACTCGATATTGTTATGATCTTGGCATTCCGGTGCATGTTCGTTGAGCTAGTTATCTATAAATTAGTACAGTCTTACCAAACATTGAATTCGGCAATTGGCGTTCGTCCAATAATTTTAACTACATTCTGAGAGTATGTGGATGCTGATATAACAAGAACGTGACTCTAGCTCAGCGTCGTTCATACTGTTAATAAAGTGCAGGCTTTTATGCTCATAGTCCATCCATTAGCCTCTACTTGCTTACTACTGAATAAAACGACACCGCTACAAATCTAAGCTTCGGACATCAAACGTTGTCCATACAATAAACACAAGATCCATGTCACTGACATACAATAAGTAGAGATTATTCATTAACCAATTTAATTTAAGTAAATAATCCAAGTATACAAGCGTAGAATAATTCTACGCGCTCGAATTCTTGTTTTTTTTTTTAACTATAGATCCGGATTAGCAGAAATGCGACGTCTTTCATCGTCTACCAAACATAATTCAGAATGAGCAATGTTTTTAACAGAGACAAAAGAATATCTGTCTTCATTACTGATGCATACGAGCTATTTTCGTAATGGTATGCGGCCATCTCCTTTTCCAATCTATAGTCATGAAACCACAGATATTTATCTATCTTATTTATCGGTTTCCGAACTACTTTTAACCATTCGATAGTGGTTGTTCGATAAATTCATACAATAAGGTTCCGAATTATGTAGATTGAGTTTTACTTTATTAAAACTTTGATTAACCCAAAATTAATGATAAAATGGAAATAAACGGAAGAAAAATAAATGGAAACTCCAGAAACTCAGCATTATTTTGATGTTTCTTTGTGGTATTCATTGGTATTCTTAAATGTTATTATGTAGGAAAGTTTTGTAATCTGTTTACCAATTAAAGTTTAAAATAAAAACGAAGAAAAACAATACTGTCGTTGTCAAGCAATCTTTTTATTGTCCTAGATACACTGAATAAATTATAATAAGAGTTGGCATTGCTCCAATCCAACAGTACGACATTTGTTAAAATAAATATTGAATCAACATCCAGTTCGTGAAATTTTAACATGTTTTAACAAATGAATGTTATGATTTTTACACTTTGAACATGAGTTTTCTGTTCAAGTTTCCACTCACGAGAACTTGCACCAACAAGTTAACTCAAAAATCAATTTTGTAGGACATCTATCAGTTGTTGTAAAACCCGTATTAATCTTTTAAATAATGTAATATGTTTATCTAAAAAAAAAAGAAACTCGAGGGAATTTAATCTTAATAATTTACGTTTTTTAGATTTTGAGAATGTAGTTAGATCAAGATGTCTTCACTTTGCATACTTTTCTCAATGAAACTAATACTTACTACTAACATTCTCTTTGTTCGGTCACGTAGTTGTCTAGTCATGAATTTTCAATACCTTTTGAATAGCTCTTAAATGAATAGAGTTTCAACCAACTTTATACACATTCAAACTTATTATGCATCATATTTTGACGACGTTGAATGTAGGTTTGAAAAATATCACTTTTTAACAAGATAAATGTTTTGAAAAGTCGTACCTATGTTTTCCCAAGTATGAGCACTTCTCGATAATTAATGTATATCCGCAAAAGCTTTTAGAAAATTGGGGCAGAAGCTCTGCGTAAAAATGTTAAAACGTTTTTATTTTAATGCCAAACTCGGGACATGTTATTCGTTGAATTTTTACATGACGTAATTCCGACACATCGCTATGAATAATATTCGAATTACCTGTCTTTTGTTTACATTTTGGGTGCATCGTAAATCTACTGGTGTTCAATTTTGCGGACGGTCGATTGATGCAGGCTCAGCCGTTTGGTAATTTATGGGAAATGTCTACTATCGTTTCTCTTGCAATTGATTAATTATACATATTATAAAAAATATTACAATAATCATATGTTCGTACCCAATAAAGCAAATTTTAATAATTAATTTAAACGTTACCAATAAAATGGTTTGGATTTTATAGACTATTGTAAAAAATCTAAAATAAGATTGTGTAGAAAAATGAACCGCAACAAATAAACATAAATTCATATATCTTTATGGCGCACCCGGGGAACATAAATTCAACAAATTGCTCCAATTTTCAATACGTAATGTTTTTCGACAGTCGTTTGTTTTTAAAAATTGACATTCTATCGCTTTTACTGTGAACCACCTCTGTGGGATAGGTGCTTCGGCAGCTCAGGTTGTGCGTGATGTACATTTTTACATCTGTATTATATCACAAATATTTCTAAAGCATACTTAAATATTTAAAGGTGTAACTAAACTGAATTGTAACCACACTAAGGGTCTCCTTCAACAACTAATCTGAGTAAAGCAGTAACTATAGGTACACCAAAGGAATAAAACATCAAAAGCGAGTTACCAATCATTCTGAATCTAATGAGATAAAAAGCGACGTGAACTCTTTCTGTTGCTGTTTGTTGTATTAGCCAATTTTTTAACATGGAACATAAAGATTTTCTTCTATCCTCATAAAAATGAAACGAAGCAGAGACGCAGAAATGTATTATTCATCAAGCTCTCAACAAATGAATGTAGCATCCGGCGACCATCTGGCATTGTGAATAACGTAAACTTTTTCCATGTACCCCCATGCTTCACGCATATGTTAGTGTGCCCGCTACCTTTTTATGTTCATAACTTAGTTAGATTTACTTTTTCTCACCAAGTACCAAGACATTTTCAAGCACTGTGAAGATTAGTTATTTTATAAAAAAAAAAAGGATTTCTTTATAAGCCTTCTAAAAATGGTCTGGCAGTATTAATTAATAAAAACTAAATTTCGATTAATCTAAATAAACTGTAATAATTCGCTACCTTTATATCACACTAGATGTTGCTCACGACGACGCCCGCGTGAAATTAATAAAAATATAAAAGTATAGCCCATATCAGTGATAACATAGCTCTTTAATAGTGCAAGAATTTTTGAAATCGGTCCTGTAGTTTTCGAGTTATTTCAATACATAAGAAAAACCCAAAAATACTCATCTTTCCTCTTTATTAATATTAGTATAGAGTAAGTATAGTATATAAATACAGATTTCAAATAATTACAATGTTCATGGTTCTATTTAGAAATATATTAAAGAAGTTTTTTAATCAATGCTTTTAAAGTCGGTCCTCATTGTCTCCTTTATCTGACCGAGTACCATTTCAAATTGTGTGGACACCCTGTAGTTGGCTTTATATCTATTACATATCTGTAAGAAGAGTGGATGTAAGTATTTGAGTACTGTGTGGTCGAGAGTCGGGAACATATGGTGGAGAGCGTGCTCCCCGAAGAGCGTCACTACTGCAAACGTATTGCTGTTTATGTCCTTTCTATCGAGAAGTGCTTCCACTTGATGCTCACCCCAGTCTGGGGATTCGTTTCTGAAAAGCAAATAAACGTTCAAATAATTTTAGTACTATTATACTATGATCAGATTTAAAAGTCGTGAGAGAAACAGAGATCTATAATTATAACAAGGTATACTAGCACAGTATTTATAGAAATTAATATTATAATCCAGTAAATTAATTATTATCAACTCATATAAGCCTCCAAACGAGGGTGGCGCTAAGTTAGGGATAATGCTGTCAACCTCGCTGGCCCGGTGCAGATTGAGCGTAGTAATTAATTAATTAAGACCAATTGATGACGTATAATTCATAGCGTTGAAAGTCAATACAATGACAATCTAATTAAGTTTATGGTTAGTTGAACTAACCTTGGCTGATCACCATCTTTTATAGCATCTGGGTGTTGATGAGCTGCGTTTGCTCCTATTAAATGAAAGAGTAGACTTGCTCCGCATATAATCCAAAACCAAACGTACACAACTATTGTTACAGGGCTCCCTGTAACAAGCCACATCCACAACGGCAAGAGTAACCCGAGACAATCATGCCAACGATAGTGTTTCTTAAAAAAACCTTCTCTGATAAATATCGAGATAAACCTGGAAATTAAATGATTTTATTTCAATCAAAACAAACAAGTAAATGAATACAACGTTAGATTCTATAACATTTCTATTATTAACTTTTGATTAATCGATTTTTAACTACTCACATATTAAAAAAGTGCGTCAATGACATTTTATTTCAACATATACGTAACATTATAATTCTTTGTCATTTACTTTTTAGATGTTTTGTTTAGCTTTGCCGCTGAATTGACTGGAATAATGTGCCTTTAGCCTTCCTTGGAAGCGTAAAATAAAGATCGAATAATACAAAATACAAAACATATACCTTTTAACAAAAAGTGCAAAGAAAATGAACGGAAAAAACAAAAATTCCGTAATAAAACCGAGTCTAGCATATAATGGCTTATCTTTTCTGGGATTGTATTGCAGGATTGGTTCCATAGAACTGATTTCAAGATCCATGATTGTGTTTGTATATAAATGGTGCGATAACACGTGCGAAACACGAAAATCTCTGAAAAAGATATACTTAGAATAGTACAGAATTATTCATATAGGTACCGTTTAAAAATTTAAAAAGTTAAGGTGAAGCAATTTTGTACTTTTAAAAGTACAAAATGACAATGAACCAAATGCACAAAAAATCGCTTACCTGTATGAAAACATACTGAGATTGAATAAAAACATTCTCCAATTAGTTCTGCGATGAATAAAGTTATGACAAGCTACGGTCAATAATGTCAAACATATAGTTGCGATAATATACCAGAACTGAGCTAACCAAGAATTCACAACCCAACATGCCAATGCAGAACTACATAGAAGAGATAAAAATAATCCATCAGTTATTAAGACGGCAGTCCTCGAAACATGCTTTGGTATTTTCGGCAGTTCTTTATAGATTTCTTTTTTTAATGTTCTGTAAAACCCATCATCTTTAAAGGTAAATGGAGAATTACGTTGTGTCTTTGCATCTCTTACGTAATATTTCTCAAGAATCTTTTCTGTTGACGGATTTAAATGATGGGATTCAAATGCTTCTGTTATATCAGTACCCTGAAGTAAGGAAAAAGATCATATTATATTTATGTTCTAAGTCTTAAATAAATAATAAAATGCCAACTGGTAATATTATTAGGTCAAATGCAAAACATAACAACTTACCTTTGTTAATTCAAGCCATTCTTCTCCTCCAGGATGTTTGTGTAAAAAACTCGTTACATCATACAGTTTGTCGTGAATTCGCCATAGACCTTCTGTTCCGTCATCCATTGCTTTACCAGTGAGCCACTGCACGGGATCTCTCATACCAGAATCTCTAAGAGACGGATATTTCAATTGTGGAAAGCTGACATGAGTCTTTTTTTCTTTAGCTCGATCATTTGCGATCTCCTCCCACTTAGATTTCGAAGCCGCCATTATAGAAAATGTTAAAATCAGTATCACCACAGTAAGAAGTATTAAATATTTTTACGTTAATAAAATTTACTGCAAAGTTAATAAAACAAACGTTCAATCAGAAAATACTACAAATCTTATGTGTTCAGATATTTAACGGTGCACGTCATTAATCACAGCTATCTTCATAGACTATGAAAGGCAATTAAGTAGTATCAACATATTAATGTGCGATAACGTATCTCTTGTATTCTAGTTCCATATACTACTAAACTCATCTAATGTAGACAGGAGTTAAAAGAAAAAAAAAGTAATTTTCATGAACATACTGTACTAAGAAACGCGAAATGTCCATATTTTTCTCTCTGGCTAATTAACTAGAAGAGTCTAATTAGAGAGTATTCAAAATAACTACAGTTTAAGAATGTAGCGTCAATAAACTATCAGCACAAAATACTGATAGAATAAGATATAACCAAAGTTGTTTAAACAATTTAGATGATTTTGATATATTTCGTGTTTGTTTACATATTTTTAGCGATATTGGGAGGTTGGGTTCATGAGTATAAAAGCCAACGTTCCAATGCGTAAACAACAGTTCGTAACAAAATTTACAAACAGGTTCGCAAATTTAAATAATATACAGCAATGCCACCTAATAGTGAGTATTTGGCCATTGCTACAAAACGATCAGAAGAAAAGAAGACGCACGTTAGTTTCCCTCAGTTGGTGTATCCTTCGCTCAGAGATGATGGCCTTAGAGATCCTGTGCAATGGTTAACTGGAAAAGCTATGGATGATGGTGCAGAGGGTATATGGAGGGTACACGATGGATTGTATGATCTTGATCCTTTTCTTCAAATACATCCAGGAGGTGCGGAATGGCTAGAATTGACCAAAGTAAGCTTTCTACTCTTTTTAAAAAACGCAAAAAGTGTTTTTCTCTATTTTTGCATGCCTTTAATTTAATTCAACTATATTAATTTTGTTTTAAATAACTTACATATTTTATACACTTACAGGGAACAGACATAACAGAAGCCTTCGAATCTCACCATCTGAATCCAGCTGTCAAGAAAGTGCTGGAAAAATATTACGTTAAAGAAGCAAAAACACCAAGAAATTCTCCGTTTACATTCAAAGACGATGGATTTTTCCGTTCACTGAAACGAGCTGTTTGGGCGGAACTTCAAAAGACGCCTAAGCATATCCACAAAAGAACTGATAGGATTATCGATGGATTGTTTGTCGCATTTCTTATATCTTGTGCAATTTCATGTATATCCAAGACTTATTGGGTGGTCATGACGTCTTATTTATCTGCATCTCTATGTTTAGCTTGGCTAACGGTTGCAGCTCATAATTATATTCATAAAAAGACAAATTGGAGAATGTATTTGTTTAACTTCAGCTTATGGTCTTACAGGTATTTCATATATGTTACATTTGTGCGTTTGTTTATTAGTTTGAGAACTGTGTCTTAATCTTTCATTTATTTTTCAGAGACTTTAGGGTTTCACATGCGCTTTCTCATCACCTTTATCCAAACACACTTATGGATTTGGAAATCAGTGGATTCGAGCCTTTCGTTTTCTGGTTGCCATTAAAGAATCGATTTTATGGCAAATTTGCCATTTTCATCGAACTAGCAACATTCGGACTTATTTTCCCGGTTAATTTCTTTAAAAGGTAATATTTGCACAATTTTAGTTTAATAGTTCTCTCAATTTTTTACCTCTTTTAATGTATTTTTTTTCAAAATTCAGCAATTTTATGTACTGAAAAGTTTTTCAAAAATTTCAGGTTAATCTTGAACTTTATGCGTAAAGACTTCTTCTTGGAGCATTATCGCTGGCACGATGTCGTCGGTTTCCTAACACCGATCTGGATGTGGGCTATAAGTGGGTGTAGTTTTTACGATGCATTTATAATGTGGCTGTGGATTATTTACACTGCTAGTTTCATATTCTTCAACATTGGATCTAACGCTGCCCACCATCATCCTATTTGCTTTAGAGATGGCGATGAAGTCGAGTAAGTATTTGAAGTTCTTAAATATTTACTAGGAAAGCAGTGGATCGGCTATAGCAAGCGACTGTAAATATAGCGCAAACGGGGCAATTTAAATTAAACCACATACTATAAGAAAAGCTTTTGCAGCGTTTCATCATAAGGGAGAGATGACACTTTAAAATGAGCCACCTCCTAGTGTTTACTTTATTTTACATGAATGATAATCTAAATTCTCATTTTAGTGAAGTGACGCGTGACTGGGGTCTTCACGAAGTGGAGGCGGTCATGGACCGTCGAGACATCAACACCAGTTTCTTCACAGTGATGACTTTCTTCGGGCATCACACACTGCACCATCTATTCCCCACTTTAGATCATGCAGTCTTAGAATACATGTATCCCGTATTTCTCGAACATTGTGAGAAGTATCGTGCTAAATTCCGTGTAACCACGCAATTTGATATGGTTGTACAACAAATTAAATTAACAGCAATGAAAACACCTAATCTTTTAGAAAAGAGCAACTAAATGCGAAATAAATGCTTTATTACCGCCTAAATGAGTCGCAGAGAAAATATACTACTTTTGTATCTCAAGAAGAATATAATTTAAAATATAATTTTACACTTCAAAACAGTTGTTTATTATAAGGAGATATTTTTATTGATAATAAAAAAATGTCCAAAATGAGTTGAAGATTTTTATTTTTAAATATTTTCTTTTAATAGTCATATAACTCCCTCATATTATGTTGATCTTTGATGAACAATGATGTACCTAGTTTGAATATACTTGATAATTTGCTTTTGATAACCTTTTGAAAAAAATTACAACAATTTATGCACAGCGTTTAACTAAAAGCAGTTAAATTCTTTAAAAAATGTGTGCTTAACAATTGCTTTCTCGGAACAATTAAGAGTGTGTGAAATATAAGCGACAAACTAAAAGCAAGAATTCCTGCCAATTACATTTTATGCATAGAATTTAAAGTTCTAAAATAATCGATGATAGAGGAATTAGTAAAGAGTTGTCCCAAACTTTTTCATGATCCATCAATTGTATATTTATTACTATTTTATACCGTTCTAAAGAAACGTGTAGGTATTCCATTCTGTACTTTGTTATGCTTAAAATGAAAACGCAATTTATTGTGAATACAGTGTTTATAGAATAAACATAAAGACATGTCAGCAGGTTATCCACACTTTGATTGTACGAGTATGTCACAATTATCATCTACTTTAAGTGCAAGAACGAAAAATATAAACAATTTGTTGTTATATTTATTGTTTATAAAACATGATGATTACAATTGTTTCGAGGTTAAATAGTAAAAATAATAATGGTGAAATTTAAAAGATTACATTTCACTGTTATTTTTTGTATATTAACATGCACTTTATAAAAAAATCTCGTATGGTTGGGGTAAATCTTACTCATCTTACTAATGTTATAAATGCAAAAGTTTTGGATGGATGGATGTTTATTAGATATTGTGGCCTAAACAGCAGAACAGATCTCGATAACATTTGGCACAGACGTTGAGGATAGCCTGGAAGAATACATAGGCTACTCACTTTTGTTTGAAAAGAATTTAACTAATAATATTTTATCACCGAATTACATGTTGCTTTTAATTTCACTTTACAAATTTAAAACTGAAGAATAAATAATAATATTACAAATGACATTTATTAATTTTCTTAAATCTTACAACACCTTCGTCTGTCCCACATAATATATTGCCATCTTTCTCTATAGCAGCAGCATAAACATTGTCTAATGTAACTAAACGTTCTACAGTATTAAATTTATCATTAATTTTGAAAATACCATTAGGAGAAGTGAAATATATTTCACCATTCACATCTGAGTTCATTCCATTGACAACATTATCTCCCAAAGGTAATATTTCCTTAATCGATTTGTTGTATTTAAATAAACCTGACGAGTTAGAAAAGTACATATTTTTGTTCTCATCTAGAGCGATTAACATGGCTCGCATTTCTTTTAATTCTTCAACCCTGTTAGATGCACCATCTTTAATGAAATACGCTTCTTCCTTTGGATAAGTACTATAATATAGTCCATCTTTGTAGAACATTTGCCATATATTTTGATTAGTTGGTTGCAATAGATTAGCTTGTTTTGTTTTTAAATTAAAACTGTATACACCGCCTTTAGCGCCTAAGAACACTTTACCAGTAGCTTGGTCAACAGCTGACGCAAATCCATCTTTAATACCGGGAACAACATTAAACTCTTTACTTTCAAGATCTAGATATGCCAATTTGAATCTTTCATCTTTATTTTGTGTTGAATAGCTGAAGAATAATGTATTCGTAGTGTAATCGATAGTAAATTGATATGGACTATCGAGATATGGTTTTAACACTTCTTTTGTGTACATCGAACCGTTAATACTGACGCCATCACATTTCTCCTCTGCAGCTTGCACTGTGGCCAGGACGATTACCGCGAAATAAACTAACATCATCTACGAACAGAAAAAAATATTTTTTATTATCATGCAAACAGAAAAAACAACGGATAATACAATCAAATGCAAGAAAATTAAAATTTTGTTCGATTCTTTTTAATTATTTATGAATCTACGACTCTTTAATAAACTTAATAAGCAACTGTTTCCTTATTGTTATCGAATTTATTACTTCCATTGGGTACTCTATGTCATAAATTCAAGTACTCACTAAATCTTAAAATATTTATACAATTGTCGGTTACATTTTTAAAACTCTTGCATTAATTTCACATAAATTAATAATTAAAAAGACACTTACTTCATGAACTGAATACTCGAACGCTTGAAGAATAACTATATAATAAACACTTGGAAGCATTTACTTATTAATAATGACCTGACTTACGGGTATTAACCTGTTATCATCTAACCTTGCATATTGAGGAAAATATTTGTTTTTATGTTTATTTTCTTAGAATAGAAATGACAATAATTGTTGCCAATAAATAACAGCTCGGTTACTTATTGATTGATGAACATGAAAAATGGTTCACTTGTCTTTTAAATTAAATGACGTTTTTGTTTTTTTTTCATCAGGGTAGGTAGCGTAAGAAAATCCATGGACAGAAAAGTCATGGGATGCAGCACGGAAGGGGAATTGGAAAAGGTTAAAGATAGGCTTCGAAGTGTAGGCGGCGGTTTGCAAGTGGAGGATATTAAAACATAGACCTCTCTAGTTAAGACGTATTCGTTTAGTTCACATTAGTTGGAATAGACCACACTAACTGCAATATGAGATCATGGTTCTTCCCAAAACCATATATTAGGGGAATCATCATCCACTTGCCCTTATCCCTTATGGAGGGTCGGCACAGTATGTGCTGCTCTTCCATACATCTCTATCAGCCGTCATATCTGAATCCACTCCTTTCTTAAGCATATCTTCCTTCACACAATCCATCCATACTTTCTTCGGTCTTCTTCTTCCTTTGTAGCCATCCACATTCAATCTCAACACTTTCTGGTTTATGTCCCCATCTTACATACAATCATGTATGACTTATTTAACGTTATTATTCTCTATTAAGGAGATGACTTCGTAATCTAAATTGGTCAGACGTTATAAATGTTATCTCCTGCTGTGTGTGGCAAACGGCCATTTCATCAAATAGAGTGATTTAATATTAACTAGTATTTACTTACTTCCTTAACTATTATTATCATAAACAATTATAATAAACATGCTGAATATTACTTAGGAAAAGTTAAAAAGTCTCTTGTGTCTGTCGTATAATTAAAAAGCAATAACAGATTAAAAAAATAGCCCAATTTAGTCCTTTTTTTGGTAAAATTTAGTAATCCAAATTATTGATTGCGACTTTTACCATTACCACGATATTAAAGTGACAGAAATCGACAAACAAAAATAACATATAGTGGTTTTTAGGCAATGTTTTTGCTACCCTTACAAAGTAATTACTTGGCATTATAATAGGAGTTCGCGCTCAGGAATTATGAGAGTCCGTAATGAGGGTAAGTGCTACTTAGGATGGAACTTTACAACATTATATCATAATGCCATTGAGAAGAGGATCGTAATTAAATATTTCAAAGATCATAAAGCTATTTTCTCTATTACTTGTCAAATTCAATTAATTTTATACGAAAATATTAAATTACTCGTAGTTTAATTAACTCTTAAATTCTACTCCGTTACTATTTTTATAATGAATATTGCTCTGCATTAATTTGGTCTAAACCTGAAGTACATTAAAATTCCACTATTCGTTATTACCCTAAACATTTTGTTCCTTCACAAATCAGACATTACGAATATATTCGTACTTGACAAATTAACACAACAAAGTTTTCATTCAACAAACATTTTAATCTCCTTTCTGTTATAGAAATAACTTAGTTAAGTGAAAATAAATTCGCTTACATTTTCGGTCGTGCTTATTTACGTACACAAGGATTTTTATCACCGACAGTGTGTAATAAAAAACAGACGCCACGCGGACCATTGTTCGGCCACAGAAACTCCAACGCTTCACGTGCACTCCCACTTTGTTTGTTGTTACGAATCATTTCTTTTTTTTACTGCAAACAAAGAAGTGTACAATAATATAGAAAGCAAAAATGTCAAAATTAAAATATTTTTTTAGCAAATATAGTACTATCTTAGTTCATTCACATCATTGAATAAATTGATCACTAGTTTATTGATCGACTTCCCAAAGAAGGAGGTACTCAATTCGTCTGTATTTTTCTTATTAAAATTTCAAATTGGTTAAATAAAAACACAAATATAAGCAGCGTCTTAAATGACAAGGATACGTATATATTTCATATTTCATTAAACTTTTCACGTCTGTCAGATTGTAAGCGCTTACGAAACGAAGTTTTTAAAATTAATTCCAATATGACCGTTAGAACTTAAACTTTTATAAAGATATTCAGAAAAAAATAAATGAGTAAGATATTACCTACATCTTACAAGCAAATTTTTTAATAAATTTACAAGTACGCTTTTATTATTATCACGGTAGAGAAAATCTTGAGTTCTTTTAATTTATTTAGTTCGTTTAACAATTTTGAGAAGTTGCCGCTTGCTTAAATTAATTTATAATGCTTCGTTAGGCGGAACACTGAAAATTTTAACTTGTTTCTTTTAGGCTCGTGTCAAATACATGCATAACCGTCTGCTTACACTACAGAAAAAGCAGTAGACAAACATACTGTGGTCTCAATTTATTCAAGGATAATGATAGAGATAATAAATATGTTTTTTACCTACTAATCTTTCGGTTATAAAAAATGTACAACAATTAAAGTCAGATGAACATTCTGAACTTAAATTAAATAAAACTTCAAAACTTGCGCATTTCACACAGTCCACGCGAAATAAATGACTAGACTAGTCTAGACTTAGACTATGTGCTATCCCTGGCTACAATCTATCCCTATTGTAAACAGCGACATGATTTGTCCAATAGTTCTAAAGTAACGCGATAAGTAACATATATTAATCTATCCAAACTTTCACATTTATTATGTAAGTAGTAAGATAAAGTTAATTGGACTCTAATAATAACAGAGTTTATAATTCTCAAGGTGTTTAGGAACTAAACAATTTTGCTTGAACTAAAAACACGATGTAAAGACTTAAAATATTCGGTTGTCTTTATGGCGTTTTAGCGATTATTAAATAAATAAAAAAAAAAAACAGAAAACGAATAGAATAAAAAAATTAATTTAATATTTCTTGCTAGCCAGTTGTTTGTTTAGCAAGAAAATTGCTTGAAAACAAGTTGATAGTTTTTATATTTGAATTTTAAAACAGTAAAGAAAAAACAAACAATTTTCTTTTAAACATGCAGAAGGTTCAGAGTTCATTTAGTGTCAAAGGTATAATCCATTAAACTTTAAACAACGTGGAGAATGTTCTTTGATAAGATGTTTACGGGTTGACAGAGAAAACACCCGGGGGTGATATAAATAGTTATAAAAGTGTAGGACGGGTCCTGCTGCGTGATGGATGTTGTTTATTCACTGAGTTTTCGGCATCGACTTTTCAGTGAACTTTAGTAACACGTTAGTAAAAATTTGGAAAAAGAATTTTGATATCTTAGAGAAAAGATGCGTCACTTCTCATAAGTTACAATTATAAAAAGTAATCAGAGAACAAAAGAGCCACTGAAAGCTCTATTTGGAGCACTTGACTAAGGTTGAACTGAGGAATACGTGGACGATGCAAGATTAGAAATCCGTCCCTTTGTATTATTGTTGATATCATAATAATATTGTAAATGCGAAAGTTTAGATGGAAGGATGGATGGATCGATATTTGTTAGAGTTTGTAGCCTAAACGGCTGAATGGATTGCAATGAAATTTAGTACAGATGTAGAGGATAGTCTGGAAGAGCACATAGGCTACTCACTTTTTTTTTTTAATTTCACGCGGTCGTAGTCGCCGGCCAATACTAGTTACAAATACTTTTACAGTCTACAATAATTTAACTAACTGAAATTCGTAGTTTTAATAATAACATTAAAAAGTAATGTTTTTTGGAAATTGGTGTTACTTAAAATCATAAGTTAATTAAATAACTAGCAATGAACGAATATAGAAGCAGCTGTTTTAGAACCCTTCAAAATTTCCCCAAAGAACTTAATTTTACGCGCCAGATGGTGTTACTTTATAATTATGATTAGCTATTTCACTCTAAAGGACTTTGTAAAAGTTGATTGACGAAGTAATTAAAATTAGTTTTCGACACTAACAATTGAATTTTTCTTTTTTATTTATGTTTTAAAATAAAGTTACAACGTTCACATAAAATTAGCATGTGAATAAAATCAAATAAAAATGTGTTTTGTATTCAACATGCATCCTCGTACTGTAGCGTTGGCAAAATATTTAATTACATAACATTTTTACAAACGACGTAAACCGCTGTGATGACACGTGCACAGGTTTTTGTGAAATTTATGCTTATGTTTATAATCGAATTGGACATAACAGAAAACTTATATAAACTACAAGAACAATGATAGCAAAAAGTAAAATTGCTTTACAATGAAAAGGAACAGAAATTTATATTAAAACAAAAGTCAGTCTTGTGTTCCTTTTTGGGTGAGAAACTGACTAATTTTGTAACATTTATTCAAATTGTATTGGAAAACATAGCCAGAATAACTAGTATTAATAAACATTAAATATAATTATTTTTTCTCAACAAACATAACTTGTTTCATGTGATATGTTGGCTTCCTATTATAAATAAATGAACATTAAAACCAAAAACAACGTATTTTAATATTAATAGTTTTAATTGCAACGGCTAAAAGTTAACACTTTCAATGCATGAATTTCAATGGCACGCTGGCTGCAAGAGCGTGATTTTGAATTTAAAATAGGTTTCACGGCATCCAAAGTTGCCGCTCTCGTCAGAATTTCAGTTTATTTGAAAAGTTGCTTGGTTTACAGCTTTCACGACCAATTACTATAGTTCAAATATTTTTATTATAAAGAAATATTTGATGAATAATTCGGAAAAATTCATTACCATGTGTTTATTTTGCTATATTCAAAATACATGGATTTTTGACCGACTTCCCAAAAGAAGGATATACTCAATCCGTCTGTAAGTTTTTTTTGTGTTACGACATGATTCCGCTGCTAGTGGCCCGATTTTGATAATTCTTTTTTATCCGAAAGGTAGTGCTTACAGTTGGGTCCCATATTTTTGTTTGATTTTTGTTTCTTTATTTCACTTGAATACTAATAATAAAACAAAAAAGGAACATTAGAATCAAAACAAATTACTACGCGTATGCAATTATCCCTTTTCAAGTTAAAAGCTTAAATGTAGGCAATAAAACGTGTACGAGGCAAATAAATCCACCAAGTCGGATCTCATTA